ACCTTTAGATCACACTCAGTGTTTATGAATGTCCAAGAAAATCATTTTGCATTTTATTGAGCTTCTTACAAACAGATTTTTCCTTAAGTGCTTAAAAAAATTAATGTATTTTACTTATCAAGTATGGTGGATGGCACCTTCAAGCCAAAACATGTGTAACTTACAATTCACAAATGCACAGGAAGATTCTCCAGAGGAAAGAATAAAGAGGAAGCTGATCAACAAAGGCTCCAAAGACTTCTTATCATGTTGAACATATTGACTGTTAAAATCATTGAATTCTATAATGTTTACTGTCCTTTGCACAGACACTGTTACCTCCTGCCAGGACCCACAACCCAGAGAAACTGACAGTCCCACAGGTCCCCACCCTCTCCAACCGGAGCATCCCTCCCCCTCCCTCCTCCCACAGTCCTCATCAGGCAGGACACACAAAGCACGGGCTCGATTGTGTCGGACTCCCCCTTGCCTTCCACAGTTCTAGCTCAAGACATGAACTCCAGTGCCAGTCCAGCGTCTAGTCCAGAGATCGTGACGGACCACATCCTAGAGTCTTTGGAGTCAGAGCTGGAGCATGACGTCATCTTTCTGCACTTCTCGCGACGCTGTTCTGGACGGTCAACGCAGAGACAGCAGCAGGCAAAGTGTGGCAGACTCACATTTATTTAATACATTAAATTTAAGACATAACACAAGACATTTATTTAAGACATAATTAGTGTAAAATAGACAAAAGTGGCTGAGTCATAGGTATTTTCTATCAAAGATGATATGTCTCTATTTTCAGTGGTGGTAACACATTCCAGGGGCAGGTGCTCATGCTGAAAACTTTTGTACCATTGTCAAACATTTAACATTTGAATTGTAAAACCACCTCTCCAGTTTAATACATCAACATATTTTATTACGTGATTATTAAAATATTACGTTGCACTCTGTCTAAAATTTGAAGTCTAAACCTGTTGGTATACAAAGTGCTTCTGGACATCGTTCTGGTGTCTCTTTATTTTAATGCTTTTAGGTGTCCTCGACATAAGATCAGTGGCAAATTTAAGTCCCATTGTTTTCTGCTGCTCTGATGTCTGAGAAAAAAGCCTGGTAGCATCACAGTGATGCCAGCCACCCTTCTTCTAATCATTGTTTTGGTCTTATTTCTCCTGTTTTCAAACCCGACTTCTTCCTTACACTCACTGTCAAACCAGAATCTTCACTGAAACTTCAACTCCTCTAGAATGTATGAGCTGGTGATTCACTCAGTTTCCTTTCAGTTAAGCAGATATTGGGGACCTTTTGTTAATCTTTATCCTTAGTAAAAATTAATTGGACCTGGTTATATTAATAAAGGTCACTGTGGTGACCAGAGGACAATTTTAATCAGGTTATTTTGATGTTCATTTTTAAAAATATTTTCAGATGTTAATCTTTTTTCACAAGAACCTCTGGAGGTTTTCCCACTGCTGATTCCTAAACTACAAGACTAAAAGACTTCTGATCTCCGCAGTTTTTGCGGTGCATTGGTTCCCAGTTAAAATTTGAGACAGCCACATGTAAAAACTGTCATGCACATACAGTATGGTCTCCTTAAGTCTTTAGTCATTTCCCTCTACTTTTGTTAAGATGCTGTGATGCCAGTTCACTGAAGTCTGTTCTCTTTATGTGGTTTGCTTCTGTTTTGTTTCTGACATATTCATTAATCATTTACTAATTATGATTGTTTAATGATTAACTACAGTGTTCATAGATGACTTAGAACATAGGCATTGTTTACATAGCATTTTATAATCATTTACAAACATTTTTAAATGTTTTTGTTCATTATTAATCCATTATTCACTAAAGACAATGATAAATGAACTACAACATGATGCGACACCTGGCAACCATGACTATGTATCATTTGTAAATGTAGGCCTATATCCTTATAAAAACAAATTAGTCTTGGAAAAACCTTTGAAGGACATACTTATGATTAATAAACTATCAAGTTATTTCACAGTTAAAATTTCACACCATTTTGGCAGTGTTGAATGAATGTAGCTCAAATTTGCCACAAGATATTTATTTTTAAAAAGTGTAAAAATTGTGGTCTTGCTTCCTTAAATTTGCCTAAAATGGCTAAGAACCAATATAACTGCACCTTGGAGTTGTTAGTGGCAAAAACTGCCACATTGAAAACCATGAAAAATGCTAATTTAGATGCCAAATTTAATCTAATATAGAGTACTGCAATGCACGATGTTAGAAATGCATTTTGAATTACTGGGTGCCAACTTGTAATTTTTATAGTTGTCCAGCAGCTGGTGACACAAAATCATTTTCAAACCCTGCAGCAAAATTCAGCCACATTTCCACTTTTCCCGTTTTTTGCAAGGGCGTCTTCCTAATAATGACTGAAAATGATAGTGTGTATCATTATCCATATTATATCATGCAGCTTGTGTGCATGTGTGTGTAAATGTACGTGAATATGTTCACGCGTATGCGCACATTGCATAATGTCGGCTTTCGTGGAGCTGCCAATTGTAGCCAGCGTTTGGAGGTCAAAAAAAATGAATCAACCATCAGTTTCTGGAATGAGAAATCAGGAGGGAGCATTTTCTGTGCTACGATGTCACACAAGAGGTGTTCCCACAACAACAATCTCTCGCGCCAGTGCGTAAAATCTACATTATGCGTTGGACGCACCGCTTGCAAACATGGGTCAGCCCAGACTGCAGCTACAGGCTTCTCTCCCGTCAGTAAATGTCAAGGAAGGAGTCCGATTTTGTCACTGACGACAACAGATGCTCTGCTGCAAATGTGGTGAGCACATGCAAGCTGCCTTCCCCCAGTCCACTGTGACCATTTGCTCTACTTGAGTGAGCACTCTGGCCCAGAGACAGGGGATAAGGATAACTTTTATTTGCATGTTACACACACAAGGAATTTGTTTCCTGTACAGAGACATACTTATCTTTTTTCTCTGTGTCACTGTCTTTCAGTATTCGTCATTCTAGGGAAGTAGGGGATTTATGTCGGTAGTGGAAAACTGGATGGTTTCTGTGTAAATCTGCTACTGCAAAAAACAAAACAATGCATCAAAATCACTGTTGCAGCTAATCATTGACCCATCTCAGGGTCTAATAATAATAATAATAATAATAATCATCAAATGCTGGTTGAAATGTATTTTTTTTGAAATTATTTGTTTTTTTTCCCCTCATAGAAAACAGGGGGGTTATGTAAACATACTGGCCTTTAAAGGGTTAAAAACTCCAAAAATATAATTCATATTTGATATTTATATTTCAGGCAGAAGTAGTTTTAAAAGACTGTCTAGTTTAAAGTGGAATAAAAAGTATGAATTTATGAAATTTTTAAAGCTGTTTTTGGAAGAGGCCATTTTTTGGCTTTAGCAACTAGTAATGTCAGTTTATTAAAGCAACCCATGAAGGTTAAAGATCTAACACTGGAAATAAAATAACTTGAAAAGTTAAGTGCTAAAATAATTTTACAGTTGCGCTCTGAAGCAAGCATCTCCTGACTAAAGTGAGAACCTACATGATCACACTCGTAGGTAAAGGGGAAAAAGTAGGTGCTGTGGTTTCATAGTATCAAATATCAGAAGGAACAGTGCACATCTGCAGCACATGAAGCTTAATGCAGCTTAACTTCTGTATTCATTTGGCAACACTCACTGCATTTTGTGTTGGCAGTTTATATCAGATGACCAAAGTAAAATTTCTTCTAAGAATTCAACATAGAGATGCAGTGACTGATCAGCGGAGATTGGAAATGGCCAGTTTTCTGCGTGACCAACCATGACCGGTGACCGGCCAATTACACTGAGATTTCCAATTCTGTGCCAATCAGATTTAGAGACACGACATCATCATGCACACTACGCAACAGCACCGCACACGCAACAGTGCAGCGTAGGATCTCGTGTGTTCCTCGAGCAAGGTTTGTGCTTGTGTCTGTACTAGCACGTGTTCATTCCTACACTGGAAGCACCTTGTGAACTAACAACGCACAGAGGAGTCGACAGAAGCACCTTGGAGAAAGGGAAACTATATCGAAATCTCTGACAAATAGTACACAATAAGCAAATTACTGGCTATTTGTGAAATGTATTCCAGTGTATCCAACCTGTGGTAAAACTCAGCAACTACACACACTTCAAAAAGAATGGTGTGCTCAGTAGTAACAGACACTCTGTCTGTATTACCTGTTTATATTATTATTATTATTATTATATTGCACTTTTTTTTTTTTACAAACCTTTAAATAAAAATAAAGAAAATGTAAAACTAATACTTTTATTACAATTTTATTTTTCCATTAAAGAAAAGTTACAAAAACACTTGTATATTCAGTTATTTAGTTCTTAGAAAGAAAATCAGCAGGTCAGACAAGAAAAAAAAAAATCTGAACTGGCCAAGAAAATTGCAATCTGTGCATCTCTGCTTCGGTGTGTTGTGTAGTTTTAGGCTGATCGGAATACATTCGGGAAAAGGACAGGCTTGTAATGAAGCATTAACATCAATTACTGAAAATCACCCCTCTAAACTGTTTTCTTTTATTCTACAGCCGACAAGAACTTCAGCGCCCAGCTGTGTGCAAAGATGAAGCTGCTTCACACCACTACTGTCTCCTGTCCAGCTCCATACTGAAGGTTGGCCAGTTTTTTTTTTTTAAACTTTGGTTTGTCGATGTTTAAAAAGTCCTAAAAAGCACTACTGCTGGCATTTTGACCTCCTGACCTGTACATTTCTACCAACTGATGTTGTAATCATTTCATTTTACTGGTTGTTTTCAACTTGCTGCTCTTGTCTGTGACATTTTTATCTGCCAGTAACATTTCCTCCTCAGGGCTGAAAGGTTTTTGCAGAAGTCTGCAGACCACAAAAACCAAGTTAACATTTCATGAGACAACACCGATGCAGAAGGTGTTGTATATAAATATAACTATTACTACGTTGGGATTAGTAAAACAGGATTATTTTATTTTATAGTGCTTAATTTTTCAGTGTTAATCATAAAATCCCATATTTCAATTATCTTACAATAAATCTTGAAAGTTTTAAAACTGTGCACACCACACTGAAGTGATCGTTACCTTAAAGAATTACATCTTTTATTGTGTAAACCTAACAAATACAATAGTTTTAAGTGTGGTCACAGCTCCTGTAGGTAGTATTGGTCACCAATGACCATGTGACCTCAGGGCAAACATTCAGTATGTAAAACTATTAAAAACCATTTTCCATTGGGATACCTCAGTCATGTAAGCCCATCTAATGAAAAATAAAATGTTCTGCACTTTGTTACAGGCAAACCTACAAAACTGAGGGTCAGTTGAAGACATCTCCTTCCTGCGAGGCTATAAGGCGAGATTCCCCGTGATGCAAAGTGAAGAAGGATTCCGGTTTCAGTCCTTTCTGTGCCAGGGCCTCCCTTAGACGAATAGGCGGCTCCAGGTAGTACTGGATGAAGGAGGAACCAGTGATAACGTTAGTATTAAAGAGCATCACCTTTACTTGGAGTTTAAAATGGGCTGTTTTAGTTCAGTGCTGCATGTTTGAGTGTTTACAACAGGTTTTTGTCATCAGGCTAAAAGGCTGCAAGACAGTTAGCCACCATCATGTTAGTTCGAGTCTGAATAATGACAAGTTAAGGACAGTTATTTATTTTCAACAATCCCCACACAAACTAAAACCAACAATGAACTGCCTCAACTCAGGTAATGTCTGTCAGTCCTCCCCCTGGATTATCTTATTCCTTTGTTGTTCAAAAACAATTGCAAACATCATTAAAACACACTGCTGCATGGGGCATTTCTTCTTTATGAAACAGCAGACCTGCAAATTTTTTGAAAATGTTGTCCCAGAAGCGCCAAATGGCCACAACTTTTTAGCATCTGAAGTAGCAAGGTTCAACTGGGTATGGGCAAGATTTCAATGAAAGTCTATTTACTACTGTCTAAATAGATGATAGTAAATAGGATTTCATATGACCTGCATTGACTGCAAATACAGTCTCATGCAAAAGTTTAGGCACCCCTTGATAAATAACAGATTTTGGTGATTTTTTTTATTTGAACAGATGTTAACACAGTTTCTCTTGGAAATGGAAAAAATGCACAATATTTTCTGCAAACAGTGATGCATAGTTACTTCTTATGCCATAAATTGAACAAAAATAAAAAATAAAAACATTATTATGGCATGGTGCAAAAGTTTGGGCACCCTAAGAGTTCCAGAGTCTCAAAGTCTCTCACAAGGTTTCAGACCTTAATCAGCTCGTTAGATCTGATGCACAGCAACAGCTGTCATTGGTAAATGCCAATTTCAAAGCTGTACAAATACTTTGACTCTTCAAACCTTGTGCACACACTTGCGGACACCCAGCAACCATGGGTTCCTCTAAGCAGCTGTGTAAGACCCTGAAAATGAAAGTTATTGATGCCCACAATGCAGGAGAAGGCTACAAGAAGATAGCAAAGCGTTGTCAGCTTGCAGTTTCCACAGTAAGAAATGTAATTAAGAGATGGCAGATCAGGGGAACTGTGGAGGTCAAGATGAGATCTGGAAGACCAAGAAAACTCTCGGACAGAACTGCTCGTATGCTGGTCAGAAAGACAAATCAAAACCCCCATTTGACTGCAAAAATCCTGCAGGAAGATTTAGCAGACTCAGGAGTGGTGGTGCACCGTTCCACTGTGCAGCGATGCTTGCACAGACAAGGCCTTCATGGAAGAGTCAGCAGAAGAAAACCTTATCTGCGTCCCCATCATAAAATCCAACGTCTGAAGTATGCAACAGGACATCTACAGAAGCCTGATGCGTTTTGGAAACAAGTGCTGTGGACTGATGAAGTTAAAATAGAACTCTTTGGACACAATCAGCAAAGGCATGTTTGGAGAAAAAAAGGAGCAGCATTTCATGAAAAGAACACCTTGCCAACTATTAAGCATGGGGGTGGATCTATCATGCTCTGGGGTTGTGTTGCAGACAGTGGACCAGGAAACATTGCACGGGTGGAGGGACGAATGGATTCCACTAAATACCAGCACATTCTGGAAGCAAACATCACACCATCTGTAAAAAAGCTGAAGCTGAAAAGAGGATGGCTTCTACAACAGGACAATGATCCTAAACATACCTCGAAATCCACTATGGAATACCTCAAGAGACGCAGGCTGAAGGTTTTGGAATGGCCATCACAGTCCCCTGATTTAAACATCATTGAAAATTTGTGGGTAGATCTTAAAAGAGCTGTGCATGCAAGACGACCAAAGAATATTACAGAACTAGAAGCCTTTTGCAAGGAAGAATGGGAGAAGAGCCCAAGTACAAGAATTGAAAGACTTTTAGCTGTGATATCTGCCAGAGGAGGTGTTACTAAGTACTGATTGTGTAGGGTGCCCAAACTTTTGCACCATGCCATAATAATGCTTTTATTTTTTTATTTTTGTTCAATGTAGTATTTCATTTGATATCCTATTTGATGACTGATGACGAATCAAATTCAATCATATTCATATGAAATCTATTTAGAGACTGTTTTCATCATGACTCCAGTGATTCAAGTTCTATAGCCAATTTCTAATGCGTAGTTAACTTTTCACCCACCCTGTAGATGAAGCTAAAGCAATAAATCCTCCCTTCATGGGTGACAGGTTATAACAGCAGTGTCAAACTCAATCGCACATGAGGCCAAAACTCAAAGCACACTTTAGGTCGCGGGCCGAACAGGATAAACATTTATTGAACAGACTAAAACTAAACGTTTTTTGAACATAAATATGAATCGAAACAGACAGGATACAATATTATTCCAAAATAAAGAAACTTGAACTTCAAACCAGCAGCCATATTTCTGCTAAGGTTTACATTTACAAACACCTGCTTTTTGTCTGGACACCAGACGTCTCACACTTTCATCTTGCAGCTCTTCAGAAACTCTCCCTCGGTAAATGTCCGGGCGGATTTTCTCCTCAATAAAACTTATTTCACTTAGGTGAAAACGTCTGCTGTGATGTCAGATTCCTCTTCAACTCCTCTACCTTCTGTAGCTTCTGCTCTTCATTCACGTTTTTCAGCTTGTCCTGATGTTTTGTCTCGTAGTGCCGTCTTAGGTTATATTCCTTAATTACAGCCACATTAGCTCCACAAATAAGACACACGGGTTTACTAAACATATACTCAGCCTCCCAC